TTGACAGCCATGTAACGTCCATGTGTGCTGCTGAAAGAGTCTCTGCTGCTCTGACCGTCCTCCTCCTTTCAGGGTGACGCCTGCTGGAGTCCGATGGTTGACACTAGGTCTGAGGAAGTGTAAGTGTGTTTGAATGGATTCATGGAAACAAAGCAGCACATTCAACCATCTTCAAACTGTCACATCTCTGAGGTCATCGTCAAAGGTTTCATACTGATCACATGATCCATCAATAACTGCAGCTGTGTTGTGTTTGTTCTCTCCATCAGATTCCTGTGAACTCACAGTCGACACAAACACAGTACACAGAAACCTCAAACTGTCTGACAACAACAGGAAGGTGACATTTGTGGAGGAGAATCAGTCATATCCTGATCATCCAGACAGGTTTGTTTGGCCTCAGCTGCTGTGTAGAACTGGTCTGACTGGTCGCTGTTACTGGGAGGTCGAGTGGAGAGGAAAAGTTGACATATCAGTGAGTTACAGAAGAATCAGAAGGAGAGGATATCGTTATGACTGTTGGTTTGGCCAAAATGATCTGTCCTGGTCTCTGACCGGCTCTGATGATGGTTACTCTGTCAGACACAATAAGAGAGAAACATCCATCAGGTCTTCAGTCTCCAACAGAGTATCAGTTTATGTGGACTGTCCTGCTGGAACTCTGTCCTTCTACAGAGTCTCCTCTGACTCTCTGATCCACCTCCACACCTTCAACACCACATTCACTGAACCTCTGTATCCTGGATTTGGGATCTGGTCGTCTGGTTCCTCAGTGTTTCTGTGTTGAGTTCAGTATCCAGAGTCTCCTCCTGGTAGAGAAACAGTTTCCCTGTTGAACAGATGGTTCAGTCTCTACATGTCTCTGTCACTCAAACATGTTTTAGATTCAAGGTTTTAACAAAACAATAAACTATGACATTATTTTACAACAGACTATCCTGTCAGCTTTCTGTCAGATGATATAATAAACTGTAACATGACGACTGTAGTAAAATCTTTACAGCATCCTGATCTTTTATATTTCGTTGTGAAAACATGATATACTGACATTTTAAACACATAATACTGCTGTTGTTGTTTTTTACAACATACCTTAAATTGACATTTTTGATGATTTACTTTGTTTTGAGATTCTTGTATCCATGAACGGTGGTCAGAGAAAAAGACTTCAGGTCCTGCTGAGAAAATGTATTTTTAATCTCATGGAAGCTTTGTCTTTATAAAGAAATATATATTATAAACAATAATAAATTGATTAACGACCAGCAAATACCGTCTTGTGTTTGAAAATTTGAACATTTGTACCATTTTTGTCATGACTGGACAAAACTTTTGATCAGTCAGTCAGACTATATTCATCAATCACTTAAAAATGAAATAAAATGTAACACAAAGTACACATAATTGAAATAAAAATGCAATAAAAAAAGTACAAACAATCCTCACATTGTCGTATATAACACGTGACAAGGAAACACCAGTAGGGATAAAATGAAATAAAATGAGATAAATTACAAGAAAAAGGTAAAGAAAATAAAATGGTTTTTTTCTTAAAATAGGGAGAGATAGAGATAGACAATAAGTATATAAAAGAAAAAAACAGAAACAGAAAAAGAAATGATAAAAATGAAGTAAACTACATGAAATAGATTAAAACATTTAAATAGGTAAATAAATAGAGAAGTAAATACATACTGTTCGCAGGCTTTCAATGTTATTTAGTGATAACAAAGACATGTTGGTAATATTGTTAATGTGGGGCTCAAAATTGATTGCTAAGTCCAAGATTTTTAACTTGTTTTCATGGTTTTAATGCCAGAGCTTGTGGTTGTGAACTGAGCTTGTCTCTCTGAGCTTCAGTTCCAATGACCAGAAACTCAGTTTTGTCCTGGTGGACCTGTAAAAAGTTCTCTGCCATCCATGATTTAATGTCGAAAACACAGTTAAAAAGGACATCAACTGGCCACCAGGAGACACGGCGATGTACAGCTGTGTGTCGTCAGCGTAACTTTGGAAACTGATGCCATGTCTCCTGAGGATGTTTCCAAGCAGCAACATCCATCCATCCATTTTCTTCCGCTTATCAGGGGTCAGGGGCAGAGGCAGTAGGTGGAGCAGCTCATTCCAGACTTCCCTCCCCCTGGCAATGTTTTCCAGCTCATCCTGGGGGATCCAAAGGTATTCCCAGGCCATCCGAGAGATATAATCCCTCCAGCAGGTTCTGTTTCTACCCTGGGGTCTCCTTCCAGGTAAACGTGTTCGGAAAACCTCCAGAGAAATCTTCCCCAGAGGCATCCAAATCAGCGGCTCTACTCCAGCTCCCTCCGGATGTCTGAGCTCCTCACCCTATCTCTAAGACTGAGCCCACCCACCCTGTGGAGGAAACACATTTTGGCCGCTTGTTTCTGCGATCTCGTGCTTTCAGTCACGACCCAAAGTTCGTGACCATAGGTGAGGGTTGGAACACAGATGAACTGGTAAATCGAGTGCCTCGCCTTGCAGCTCATCTCTGTCTTCACCATGATGGTCCAGGATGTTCCATTTTCCCATCACTCGTGAACAAGATCCCGAGATACTTAAACCCCCT